CTGAAGTGCAATACTTAGACCACAGGGTAGGAAGTGGGCAGCAAAAACCAGAACCTGCCAAGATAGAGGCCGTAGCTAAATGGCCGACCCCTCGCACGAAAACCCAGGTCCTAGCTTTTTTAGGGACCGCCGGTTATTACCGTAAATTTGTGACCAATTATAGTGCCCTAGCCAAGCCCCTTACCGACCTCACCAAGAAGAACCTGCCCAAAATAGTTACCTGGAGCCCAGAGTGTGAGCAGGCATTCCAAGAACTGAAAACTGCCCTAATTCATGCACCTGTACTTGCCGCTTCCGATCCAACTAAACGCTTTCTCGTTCATACAGACACTTCTATGTTTGGATTGGGAGCAGTGCTGAGCCAGGTTGGGGCCGATGGCGGCGAACATCCAGTCGCTTACTTGAGCCGGAAACTACTACCCAGGGAAGTAAGCTATGCCGCCATCGAGAAGGAATGCCTGGCGGTGGTGTGGGCCCTCAAGAAACTGCAGCCCTATTTATATGGAAACAATTTGCCCTGCTCACAGATCACAACCCGTTGGTGTGGCTAAACCGGGTGTCAGGGGACAATGCTAGACTGTTACGCTGGAGCTTGGCGCTACAGCCCTTTGATTTCACCATCCAGTATCGCCCGGGGAAGCAAAATGGTAACGCCGACGGGTTTTCCCGACAGATAGAGCTGGAAAAATGATTTGTGAGCACTCTCCCGGACATCCCCAAGCCGATCCGTTGGGATCAGGCTGTGTATGCCGGCTTGGTTCTGGGGGAGCATTGTGGCAAGCCCTGCCACTAAGATACTAACTGTTCTGTGCGAATGAACACTGGAGTTATTATAAGCGAATGGGTGCAAAGGCAGAGACTCAATTCACGAACGGACTATACTGTTATTCATGCTGTTTTTATGCGAATGCCCTGAAACTACCGAACGATAGACCACCCCGGGGTGGTTGTGTGTCTCCTATGAACCAAAGCTACAATGTTGCGAAGTGTATTAAGTGCGAGTGTGTGTGGCTGCCATTTCGCCTACCGAACACGTGGCGGCGGCCATCTTACGCATTAACAGCGTTAACTCAACGCCTGGAACTCAAACCGGGCATTCAACTAACCAAGTACCGCTAAGACCTCCAGCACGCTCAAAAAGCACGAAGCAAACACACGAACACCTCGGCATTCGGCATGTGGAATCCCACGAACGAGGGGATTCATTCGAACGGTAACAGATGCCTGGATGCCTAAGCCGTTCGGGACTTTTTATTCACTAGAAAAGACCGACAGCAGGGCCAGAATTCATGGAACTGTTTTCGGCTACTGAGCCCGTGCGGTCGGTCAAATCTTTCACTGGCTGTAACTCCCGAACCCCTGGTCCGATCTGGGTGAATTTTGAGTATGTTGCTCACCCAGATCAGGGCTACCAGGGGACCCCTTATTTAACCCTGTACCCCCTGTATTTAGGGGACATCCACAAATTGGGGAAAACTCTGTACATATTAATCTGGTTAAGTGTTAATCTAAGGGGAGGAAAAGGTTGGGAGGAGACCACGATATGATTGGGTACTGTAGTAATTGTGAAAGTTACCTCCCTTGCATGGGAGAAATGCATAAAGGCAGACCTGTGAATAAAGCTGACAGTTGACTCCCAGACTATGTGTCGTCTAGTCCTTGGGGAGGTGGATTATGCTGTGTTCCTATAATTTTGTATGCTGAATCTTTGTTCCCAGCGGAGTGCTATTGGATTAACCCCTGCTACTCCGCTACAGGGTCGGCTAAGGGATGTCCGGCAAAACAAATAGTTACTTTTCAAGTTCAGTTTGTCGTGACAGACCATCTGCATTGGCATTCTGCTTCCCGGGGCGATACTGCATTGTGAAATTGTAGGGTTGCAGTGCCAAGCTCCATCTGAGTAGTCTGGGGTTATCGCCAGCCACTCTGTTAAGCCAAATCAAAGGGTTGTGGTCAGTCATCACCATGAAGGAACGTCCATACAGGTAGGGTTGTAGCTTTTTGAGCGCCCAAACTAATGCCAGACACTCTTTTTCAACGGTGGCATAACTGACTTCGCGTGGTAACAATTTCTTGCTCAGATACGCCACCGGGTGATCCATGCCATCGTCCCCCACCTGGCTCAATACAGCTCCCAGTCCAAACATTGAGGCATCTGTGTGAACGAGAAACCTTTTAGTATGATCAGGTGCCGCCAACACAGGAGATGCACTTAACGCAGCCTTGAGTTTCTGGAAAGCCTCCTCACACTCAGTGGACCAGACTACTTGTCGGGGTAGGGACTTTTTGGTGAGGTCTGTCAGGGGTTTGGCTAGGGCACTGTATTCAGCTACAAATTTCCTATAATAACATGCGGTGCCCAAGAACGCCATGACCTGTGTTTTAGTCCGGGGTTGGGGCCACTGGGTGATGGCCTCAATCTTAGCTGGCTCTGGTCTCTGTTTTCCTGACCCTACTCTGTGGCCTAAATATTGGACTTCAGCCATGCCTATGTGGCATTTCTCTGGCTTCAAGGTGAGCCCTGCGTTCTGAATTCGGTTGAGCACTACTGAGATGTGCTCCAGGTGGGCTTCCCAAGTGCCACTGAAGATAGCTATATCGTCCAGGTAAGCACAAGCGAAGCCCTGAAATCCCTCTAGGAGCCGGTCCGCCATCCTTTGGAACGTAGCTGGGGCATTCTTCATCCCAAATGGCATAACCTTAAACTGGTATAGGCCAAATGGGGTGACAAATGCCAATTTTGGAATGGCCCCAGGCTCCAAGGGGATTTGCCAATATCCCTTACACAAATCAAAAGTGGTCAAATAATTCCCCCCAGCCATACGGTCCAGCAGCTCGTCTACTCTGGGCATGGGGTATGCGTCGGTAACTGTCCGATCATTTAGTTTGCGGTAGTCCGCGCATAACCTGGTGGTACCATCTTTCTTAGGAACCAGGACTACTGGGGAAGCCCACGGGCTTTGAGACGGTTCTATGACCCCCAGTTCTAACATGTCCTGGATTTCCTTTAACATGCTTTCCTGTACTGCTCCGGGGATTCGGTAGGGCTGCTGCCGCAGGGGTAACTGGCCTGGGGTCTCCACTCTGTGGACTGCCAGGGTCGTATACCCTGGGGCTGCTGAAAACATGCCCCCAAACTCCTTTAACAGTTGGGAAGCCTGAGCTTGCTCCTCTGGACTTAATTCTGGACCCAACTGTACCTGTTCTACCCCTGTAGGTTCTTGGGGAAGCATATCCGGTAAAGGGATACCCTCACTATCCTCATACGCTGGAGCGCATACCGCGGAGACCTCCTCTGTTCTCTCGAGATATGGCTTGAGCATATTTACATGGAAGGACCGCCGGATCCTTCCATCAGAACAGTCTGCCACAATGTACGTGGTATCACTGATCCGCTCTATTACAGTGTAGGGGCCCTGCCAGGATGCTTGTAACTTATCCATTTTAATGGGCTTAAGCACTAGGACCTTTTGTCCTACTTCTAATATACGGTCTCTAGCTCCCTTGTTGTACCAGTACTTCTGCCGTTGTTGGGCGGCCCGCAGGTTCTCCCGAACCGTTTCGGTCAGAGCCTGCAGCTGGTCCCTCAACTCTAGTACAAATGGGAATATAGGGGTACTTGATTGTTCCATATTGCCTTCCCAATGTTCCCGTACTAGATCTAGGGGTCCCCGGACCCGTCTCCCTATAAGCAAAGAGCAAATGGGGAAGGAACTTTTCCCAATTCCGACAGGTCTCTGTGAACGTGATGAGCATTTGCTTAAGGGTGCCATTAAAACATTCACAGAGGCCATTTTGGGGGTGATAGGGGGAACCTAATATGGGTTTTACCCCACAGCTCTGCCAGAGCTGTTGGGTAACCACCGCTGTGAATTGGGTTCCCTGATCTGACACTATCTCCCTAGGAAATCCCACCCTAGTAAACACCTGAACCAGTGCTTCCGCTACCGTCTCTGCATGTATATTTGACAGAGCTATAGCTTCGGGGTAGCGGGTAGCGTAGTCCACCACAGTAAGAATGTATTTCTTACCGGATGGACTGGGTTTGCTGAGTGGCCCAACTAAATCAACTGCCACTCGGAAAAATGGTTCCTCAATGATGGGTAGGGGACGTAGTTTTGCCCTGGGGTGATCCCCTCTCTTTCCTACCTTTTGGCATACCTCGCAGGTCCTACAATAATCCTGCAAATCCCTAGTGACCCCCGGCCAGAAAAATGATTGGGTGAGTCGGTCTCTAGTCTTTTTAATGCCTAAGTGACCTGCTAGGGGGATATCGTGGCTAATCCGCAATAGTTCTACCCGATACTTACGGGGCACTATTAATTGTCTTTTTTCTACCTGACCCGCTCCTTTCCCTGTCCCCCCAGTCACCCGGTATAGTAAACCCTTTTCCCAGATAAACCTTGCCTGATCTCCATCTCCCTGGGGTTGTTCTGCCTCCCTCCGATACCCCTTTAAGGTGGGATCTTCCCGCTGAGCATGCACAAAGTCTTGAGGGATACCCCAGTAAGAAGTATGGTCAGGGTGAATCGTCAGGGGGTTATTGCTTACCTGGTCATGGGTTGAGGGGGAGGCCTCCATAGCTCTGGATTGCTGACGGGTGGTAACAGGTAGTGTTCCTTCTGGACTGCAGGCTGCCAATTGGGACGTCAAGCATCCTAAATCATTCACCAGCAACACTTCCGCTGGCAAATCTGGCATGATGCCCACTTCCACAGCCTTGGCCCCCGTACCCCAATCAATGTGTACCCGGGCTGTTGGCAGTTTATGAATTGCCCCTCCGGCCACCCTTACAGCAATGGTGCGTCCTGTGTGCTGGGCCATGGTGACCCGATGTGGCTGGACCAAGGTAATGGTAGCCCCGCTGTCTCTTAGTCCCCTAGCCTCTTGTCCATTTAGCTTTACTGACTGGCGGTGGTGCGCCCTGTTATCCCCAGCCGCTTGCACAGGGTTCACTTCATGTAAGGTGGCCCAATTTTCACTGTTGTTACTGGGTGCCTCTTGAGTCAGAGAGTTGTAATCCTCTTGCACACAGTGTGTGGCTGCTTTGGTTGGTGGTACTGGTGTCCGCCCCCAGCGGTCTGTAGTACGTTGTGGGCAATTAGGTTTGATGTGCCCCACTTGCTTGCACCCATAACACATTGGAGCGGTCTTTTGATACCCCGGAGTTGTGGTATTGCCCACCGGTGCGGTTACCCTCTGTAGCGTAGGTGGAGGACCCGATGAGGGTCACAGTCCAGAGAACCTTCGATTCCCATCCAGCCTTCTGCTCTCATGGAATTCATCTGCCAACCTCGCTGCCTCCTCTACCGTCTGTGGCTTTCCATCTCTGACCCAGTCTCTAACCTCCGCTGGTGTGTAATCAAAAAACTGCTCCAGTAGTATTAATTGTACAGCATCCTCCAAGGTAGTTGCCTGATTCCCCTACATCCAATTACTGGCAGCGCGTTGCATCCGAAATGCCCACTCGTTGAATCCTTGCCTTGTCTCCTGAGGGCCTGGAATTTCCTTCTGTGGGCTTCAGGCATTACAGCATACGGAGCCAACAAAATCTCTTTTATTTTCCCATAGTTTTGTATATCCCCATCTGGCACAGCTCTCAATGCTTCTGCTGCTCTGCCGGATAATTTGCTGCTTAGTACTGCAGCCCAGTTAGCTCTTTCTAAATCCTCTAACACACATTGTCTTTCAAAATCTTGCAAGTAATTATCAATATCCATCTCACCTTCCACGAAGCTTTTAAATGCAGTGTAGTTGATTTTCCGCTGACGCCCCATTGTAGTTCCAGATAGCGACAATATATCCACAGGAGGTGATCTGTCTCTGGCTTCTCGAGCTTCTCTGGCAGTCTGGGTAGCTTGTGCCAAAATCTGTACCATGATCTCCGGTGCAGGGTTAGGTCCTACCAGGCTGAGTCTCCATCTCACATCCCTTTGGAACTCTGTTTCCTCTGCATTCGCCATTTGTTGTTCGCCGGTTTGATCGCTCTCCAGTAGTTCGGTTATTAACGTGGCTTTCGGTTTATTGCTTGCCACTATGCCTCGAGCTTCCAGCAGTTCCTTCAATGTTGTTCGTTTCAAGCATTCGTATCTATGCGACCATTCACCACTTGTTTCAATTCGGTATATCCGTTTGGGAGAAAATCCCGCCGCTTGCCACCAGTGTAAAGGATCCTTCTATTTGTGCAGCGATGATCCTTGCAGCTTCTCCCGAAATCCAGCTGAAACGAAGTGATTATAACTCCCAATCCCCCAAACATGAGTCGAGACTTCATGAAGGGGTAAAACGATCTGTTTTACTGTGGGCTACCTGCCCGGTATTTATGCAGGTCTCCCACCTGGTGGACACTCCCCTAGGGGACCAGATGGAAGACTGGGACAAAAGTATCACAGTAGCCAATCACAGTGGCTATAACATAAGCACTCCCCTTTACATAAATCACTCCCTCTTTTCCATCCTGGAGATAATTAACTTAAGGTAGCAAAGAGAGCCTTAATTATCTCCAGATAGAAAGAAACATGGCTTTTCTTATTATTCATCAAACAGTATAAAAATCTATAACTTTCATTTTACATGACATAAACTGTAAGTCCCACATAACCCCAGATAGCTTGGATCTGAGTGCATATTCTAGGCGAATAGCGCTCAGATCCCACAAACACAGTTCTCAAAAACGTCGACTGAAGTTTGACTTTCACCGGCCGTTCGCGTGTTTGTAACCGCCAACAAGTTCCATACTGTAGCTATCTGGGGTCGGTCCCTTTCGCATACATCCAACGCACGAATGGTGTAGGGTCTCCGGCATTCGTGTGTTTTCGTATGAACGAGGACCTGGAGAGGTGGCAGCGGTGTTCGACAAAATAAGTATTCGAAATTAGTTCCAGGGCATCGCCGCCATTTACTGCTGGGCGTCCGACAATCCAAAATGGCGATTGCCACGTGTTCGGTAGATGAACGCGGACCACCAAGCTATTCCCCAATTAGTCTGCGGTTAACCGCAAAGTCTGGGTGGTTAATAGGCGCCACACGACCTCAGTAGGAGGTCGGGTGGTTCGGCAGTTCATTCGTTTTTCTCACTATTTCCACGAAATCACTCTATACGCATCTAAATAGCCGAATGGGCTGGTTCACATAGTTTGTTCAATAGGGGATTTTGTCACAACTTCCTATGTGGGAAATCTGTATTTTTATGTGTTTTCATATTTTGCATTGTTTTGCTGAGTCATGGTGACACTGTATTTCTTGAGCATATTGTGGGTGTGTTTGTAGGAGTGTTTTGGGGAGTGTCTACTGTACCAGATTCTGTATAAATGTGAGCCATATGGCTGGGAATAAACAGTTCTTCTTCACCCTTCACTAAGCCTCGGTTCGGGTTTGGGTGATACTGCGGTTACCCCTGCAGTAATACCTATAATCACTGGCAGCTATAATCACTCTGGAGCTCTCACAACTCAGAAGGGGCGACCACAGACGGTAGAAATCCATCTTCAGGAGGGTATAGCGCCACAATCTTAGCTAAGATATTGGCAACAAGACTGAACCCCCAATTACAGCGACTAGTCCATGCGTACCAAGTGGGATTCGTCCCTAGACAACTATTAGAGAACACGAGACGCAACATTGACATTATCTGGAGACAGACAAAGATTGGGGAGCCATCTCTGATCCTGTCACTAGATGCTGAAAAAGCATTTGACAGGGTCAGATGGCCATGCCTATTCACATTACTGACTCACCTAGGCTTCCCAGACCCGTACATTAAAGTGATCAAAGCAATGTATACAGAAGTCAAGGCCCAAATTAGGATCACTGGAGCAACATACAGACCCTTTGTTCTCGGAAATGGGACCAGACAGGGCTGCCCGCTCTCCCCGCTCTTTTTTTGTTCTGGCCCTTGAACCAATTTTAAATTAGATCAGGAACCATCCTAATATTCACGGTGTGACAGTGGGGGAAGAACAGTTTAAAGTGGCGGGTTATGCAGACGACATCCTCCTCATGCTAATTTGCCTGGAGGAATCAATGCAGGCCCTGACACAAGCCCTGGATGAATATGGCAGATTATCAGGCTATAAGGTTAACCTAGGGAAGTCTAGTGACGGACACAGACACTACCTTCATCACCACGATGCACCGCATACAACTTAACCGCACAGCTATTAAATATTTAGTCCGAATGACAGCCTACCCCGACCAATTATATGCGCAGAACTATGTCCCTCTTTTTAAAGAACTGATCAGCGATCTAACTAAATTGGTAGACAAGCCTATATCGTGGGTCGGCAGAGTCCACTCAGTCAAAATGAACATCCCTAGAATTCTATTTATGTTTCAGGCCTTGCTAATCCCTATCCCTATCACCAAAACAGATCTGGCACCGCTTCAACAGGCAATAGGAACCTTTATCTGGAGTAATAAGTGCCACAGGGTCTCCTGAAACATCCTGTATCACTCAAAGGGTACACGGGGTTTGGGATTGCCCAACCTTTTTTATTACTACTTGGTGACCCAACTGACGCAGGTTGCACTGTGGCACTCTCCCCCTGATAAGAGGAGGTGGGTGGATCTGCAATTTCTTATAACAGGCTCGGACATCCCCCAATACTACATATGATTACCCAAGGAAGACAGGACGTTTCTAAGATCGGACTGCCCGTCAATACTTAACTCCATCTGATCTGGGACAAATACGCAGTGAAGTATGGCCTAGTGAAACTCCCCTCTCCAATGACACTTATGTTCAGAAACAGAGCATTCCCCCCTTGGATGAGAGCCCGAAATTTTGAAAACTTGGAATATGCAGAACTTCAAAGGCTATGCCATATGACTACCAGGGACCAAATACTCACTTTTGATGAAATTAAAGAGAGGGCGACTCTCAAACCGGGTGATTTTTTTTTAGGTACCTGCAACTTAAAGATTTTATCAGCCAACACCACGTTAAAGAAAAATTACTTTACTTGAAAACATGTGCTTGAAGGAATCAGTACACAGGGGCATGATCTCATCCATATATACTCACATAGCCTCCAACACGACAGAATGGGGCAAACTAACATATATCAACCACTGGGAGTCGAACTTAGGAGAAAAATTAGGAGGGTTGGACAGGCAGGAAATTTGGGAAGTTAACAACACAGCCTCATTTTGTATGACGGTCCAAGAGCAGGCTTACAAGACCATGTTCCGGTGGTACACAACGCCAGTACAGCTCTACCGCATGCAAAAAACTCCCAACAACCTCTGCTGGAGGAACTGTGGCACCAAGGGGACATATCTCCACATGTGGTGGGACTGCCCGGTAGTGAAGGCTTTTTGGCAAGAGGTGGTTAACCTCTTGACGTAGATCTTTCAGCACAGAATCACTATAGAACCATGGGTCTTCTTGCTCTCTAGATCACAAGATGAATGGGGTAGTTTGGAGCAAAAACTCTTACATAAATTAACCCTAGCAGCGCAAAGAGTTCTAGCACAAACATGGCTTAAAGCAGACGCCCCCCATATTTCCGTAGTAATACATAACTGACTGCAATAACCTGGGGATCCCTCACCAAATCCAAAAGGATATGGGAACCTTGGCTGAATACAGACATAGGCGACTGAGCAGGGTGGTGGGGTGGGCATAGCGGACTTCACCTCCTCCATAAAGGACCCTCTCAGTGGCCCCTGGCTCACTGCCATATGGACCTCCCAAATGCTTTCCCACATGAGGGTCTGTCTGTCCCAAGAAGGGGCGTTGCTCCCCCCCTTCTCTCTTTCCCCCACCTTGTCGCCACTAATGAAACAAAATATAAGGCATACCCACCACAGGACTGCTTAACTCTCTCTCTCTTCTTCTACTCTTTATTTTTTCCTGACCCTTTCATTTAATTTCATTGTCTATCGAAGACACGGCTTCCATACAGGAAATGGAAGGAGCTGCACACACCCGCCACCATGAAAATGCATCTGGAAGGCAAGGATAAGCTTTACTAATTATACTTTAATTATACTTTACTTCTGCAAATTATGGCAGACAAATTATTCTCATAACTGAGTTGTACAATGAAGATAAAAACTATATTTATAAAATATATCCAGAGTGGGAGAAAACTGTTCATTACCTCTCTTTGCTCCTTATATGTACCAGGTGCTGCAACAACCTAATGTCAGTTCACACATTTTCTTTTATGTCTGTCCTGTATTGCATTGTTAAACTATGACAAAATGAAAAT